GGTCACACATTGCTAAAATGCAGCATCTACCTTATTGCCATTTTCCTTCCATTGAAGTCTGCCGTTTCTATTTGAGGCAACGCTACACACACTACAGGATTACGACACACACTCTACCATAGTCATGGATCGGAGCGGCACAGTCCCAGGGAGCGTACATTTATGGCAATACTTCCTCCTCCGTAGAAGCTTCCTCCAATGGAAGATGGAGTTTCCTGGGGATTCTCCTGTCGTCTTACAGGAAGCAGCAGACAAATTTGGTTTGAACATGATCACCCCGGAGCGTCATGCGCCAGATACCAGCTCTTGGATACTATTCACAGATCGAGCAGGATGGAGTGAATCACAACAGGCGACATTCATTCTCCCAGCCCACAGGAACAGTTTGGCTGCATTTGGCCTGTTTTTTTTTTTTCTCTCTCTTATTTTTCTCCTTCCTTTTAACACATTCACACAATCTCGCTCTCTCTCTCGCTCGCTCTCTCGCAGAAACACAAAGTGTCCTGTCAGTCTCACAGGAATGAACACCATTTAAAGCATCAAGCAGGAGTGACACTGTAATTGTTGGTTGGCGTGAAGGCTGACATGCATCCTGTTCTCATCATGTTTGCTGTTCTCACACATTTGGTTTTCGCAGCACCGACAGGCTCCGATCCCTTTGTTTTGTTGGAGCTTCCACTTTCTTGTAGCAGAGAACATACAGTAGCTGTAATGTTTCTGATGGCATCTGATCTGCATAAATTAAAACATGATTCAGTAAATCACTTTGACAATTTTGTGACACATAAAAAATACGTTTACATAAAAAATACTTATCAGACAAATTGCATCAAGTAGTATTTATTTTATTGTCAACTAAACTCAAGAACACCTATCAGATTGCTTTGATCACGTTTCCAGACTGAATTAGTATTTATTTTTAACCTGAACTGTGACAAATATACAGCAGATAAATTAAGTATTAAACACATCACAATTTTTCAAGGTAAATATATTTCTAAAGTTGCTCTTGGCAGAAAATGTCTACCAGGTGTGGGTAACAAGCCGAATAATCCATACATAGAAAGAAACCAAAACAAAAAAGTTCAGGAATTAAGTTATGTGTGATAATGTGAAATGACATATGGAAGAAGTATTGAAGATGCTTTCTGATATTTATTAATTACTTTGGTAATGACCTCTTGAGGATCTCTCCTGTTTGGAGAAATTACTCGCATGCATTGCTCAGGTGTCATTTTGTCCCATTCTTCCACATTATCTTTAAACCTGGAAGCTTCTGTCTCTTCTATGAACTCTGATGTTTAGTTCTTTCCAGAGATTTTCAACAGGATTCAAGTCAGGTGACTGGCTGGTCCAATCAAGCTGCTTTATTTTATTTCTCCGAGGCCAGACGAGAGCTTTCTTGGCTCTGACTCTGGAATCATTGTCTAGCAGAAATGTGAACACCCGTTTCATGTTCATCATTCTGGTACATGTTGTTGAAATTGAAAAAAAAACAAAAACAAAACAAAAAACAAAACAAAAACCTACGTGTTTCTGAAACGGCAAAAAAAAAAGTATTTCTCTGTCTTTACCCCTGATACCGACTGGACAGCTAGAGATCAACCAATAAGAAAAAAGACGGATTCAATGTTACATGTGACCCTGACAGAAAGTAAAAACTGTTTTGCTCTCTAACGTTAAAATGCATTTTTTTTTTATATTCACAAACTCTATGAGGAACCATCAGATCTTGTAGCTGCTAACATGTGAAAGACTTTATAGATGAGGAAAGTTCATCCCTCATCCCTGCAGCTTCTGTCACCCCTTGTTGCTATGTCTTATGGGACTAGCGAGTGCTTCCTGCAAGGGATTCGGAGGGGGGGAGAAAAAAAAAAGTGATTCACCCTGCTGTGAGCACACAGCACGGGCACAGAGTATGTGACACCAACCTCATCCCACATCATTCTGCTCCCAACCCTCACCCTGCCCTTCAAAGGGCAGCAGATGAATCAACATAGTTTAAAACAACACAAAGAGAAACAACATATACTGTACGAGACAAGAAGAAGAAGAAGAAGAAAACAATCTCAACTCCACCCCCCCTCTTCCCCCCCGTCATGTCTCACACCTTCTCTCCCCTCTTCCTCCCCCCAGTCTGCATCTCCCACACATTTCTGTAAGTGTGACTGGCTCAGATTTTTTTTTTTTCACTCTGGCCAGACTTCAGCGCACCAGATGCACAGACAGACAGCCAAATGGCGGCACAGACATATTAAGATGCACAGGCAAACATCGACCCAGACAGAGCTCCTGGTGTGCTGCCTGTCATCTTCTTTTCAAAACCACTGAAATCTTTTCGCTCTGCTTGAAAGGGGCGAGACTGGCTGTTATCATCCGAGAGACGAAAAGAAGACGGATAACGGATGAAGGGAAAGACAAAAAGACAAGCAACACAACAGGTTCATAAAAAGTGGTTGAACCGAGGAGAAATGATTAAAAAATAAGAGGACAGATTGGAATGCAGTGATGGATTATGGCTGGCAGAGAGAGAGAGGGTTTTGGAGGGGGAACAATTTGGAAAATATCCCGCAGCTTACTGTCTGCGTTGATGAAAGACTCTGCTGAATATTAAATCTTCCACAAACTCCCACCAAAACTGGGCTATGATGAGCAGAAGAAGGCTCACATCCCGTCTCCGTGTGGGAGCCCTAAATGATTTCACACATGGTAGAAACTACTTTATGTTCTTCCTGACAACAACTCGCAACTAAAAGTGCAGGTACATATTTCCATCTTCCTGATTTTCCATCCGGTGTGGCTTTCTTGTTTTTGTGGTTCTGGGTCGCCTCCTGCAGGGCGCGAGATGTACTGCGTTGTGAGCAAAACATATTTCAATCAGAAAACACTCATTTTTATGTAACTGATCCGGTTATATAAGCAGAAAACATGAACATCACAGCAGCCACATTCAAACTGATGCAAAACGACATCTCTCTTACAGACCCATTGCAACTGCTTTTCACATTTCCAGCTGAGAATTCATCCCTCCATCCTCTCCAGAGTCCGTTCTCCCTTGCAGCTGCTCAGAGCCTTTTCTGACGTCCTTAATTGCCTCAGGTAGTGCTGGTTTTCCTCAGGGCAGGAGACGGCGGACAGTGGCGGCCTGCAGATGGCCGGGTTCTCCGAGGAAAGTAGGAGGAAGATGAGAGTCGACAGGCAAAAAGGCCACGTGCAGACCGGTAACGCGAGCTGATAGGGGACGGTAGAAGTGGGAGAACATGACACATTGTCTTAGAGACACCTGCAGACGAGGTCTATGATTAGCCTCCAAAAGTAAGAAACTTTCGAACTTACCACGGACATTAGTTTTGACGTCGCTGAAGTCACGTAGGCACAGAAAAGTGCTAAAAAAGACATCAACACACCTTTCATTATGCAGTTTTCTACTTCTGACGAAGAATAATGAACTTAGTTTTCAGTCTTACCACATATTAGAGATAATATGTGTGTCTGCCATGTTAAACCATAAAAGACCCCTCCGATGGCAATGCAGGACAGCGCACTGTTATATCCCCAAAGTCCTGAGTAGACGTCCTCGAGAGGTGCAGCTAATGCAAGTCCTGCACCAAATTTCAAAGAACCTTGAACAAGTGGTCAAATCAGGTGCAGCCAAATGCTTCACAGCATTTTGTTGGGATTTTACGTGACGGCTTAACAAAAACAATGCATGTTGACCCTTTTAAAGCTGCTCTGGTCAGACAAAGGAACTTTTGTTGGGTTACATGCAAAAGGCCATGCATGGGGTAAACATTGTGGTCATAGCATCATGCTGTCAGGATGCTTTTCTTCAGCGCAGGGTGAAATGGATGGAGCTAAATGCAAGGCAACAATGGAAGAGAAATCTGTTACTAAGCAACAACTCCTTTAAAATGGGACAGAGGTTAAGCCTCTAGCTGAACAACAATTTTCAGGTGCTAGAGTTCTCCAGTTAAAGTCCTGACCAAAATCCAGTTCAAGACTTGAACATTAATACTCACAAATGTGTCTTCCTAGGGCCATTCTTAGGCTAGGCTTCAGCTATTTTGCAAAGAGGTATGAGGATAAATGTTAATCCTTATGTACAAAGCTGGTAGAGACAACTAAAAATTGCGACAATAGGTGGTTCTATGGGGTATTGACTCACTGGGACTCAGTGCTTTTCAAGGGTTTATGTGTAACACATTTAGAGAGCCACGCATGCCTTTTCATCCTCATCTACTTTGTTTAGGTCTATCTCTAAAATTCAACTTAACTACAAATAAACTGGAAATGTTCCACTTTTAATACAACAAGAAAAAGTTGAAGTGATATGACAACTTTTGCAAAGCATTTTGTCGTCCATGTAAAGTATGCACAACTTTGGTTACTTTTTTTTACCAAATAAGTATGCAGTCTGCATATTTGTGTTTGAAACAGGTTTTGGCACATTTTAACACATCAAACTTTCCGCCATTCCTTCTGCAAATGACTCGGTGTCTATTTACCAGTGCACAGGCCAGCAGCGGAGCCCAACAAGGCATGCAAACAGATAGCTGGCGAGCATAGCAGCAGGGCCAGAAGGACGAGACACGCCGTCCAGGGACTGTCGCAGCCAAACACCTGGCCAACGCCAACTGGCACCGACAAGAATAGCTGCAAAAAAAAAAAAAAGCGCTGCATATGAGCTGAGTGTCAAAATGTTCTGAAGTGATTTTGATTATGTGCAGGTATTCATCCACCTGTGGTATACTCAGGTTTGCAAGAGAGTCGTTATGGTACAGATGTGCTTTGGGCTGAATTTTCACCTAAAGGCGCAGAAAGTAGTTTCACTTTTTCTTATGATACAAACCACATGAGAAAATTCAAATTGTATGTGTATAGTGAGACTTAATACATGCCTCTGGAAAATACGGGTGAGCGGTTCCTGTTGCTGCGATGTGTAAGCAAGTCAGGATATTGAAAGGCAAAGTGAAAACTGGGAGATCCCATTTGCTCATAATGGAGGACAAAGCACTGGAGACTACAGGGCTGTTAACAGAGAAACAAGTTAAGATGTTAAAGACAGAAAAATTGGAAGCAATTAAAATACTGAATGGTTAACAAGCACTGTCAGTACTGGGACCATGTGTAGTGTTTTAAAAGGCTTAGATTTTACTTGAAGAAGTAAAATTGTGTGCACAAATTTATTGGGGCTATACTGTGATTAAATATTTATATTAGTGAAATTATTCCTGCCACACTTGTGGGCTCCCCGCAGGTCGGCCATAGTTTGTAGGTCTGGATAGTGAGACGACGATGGAAGAAGCGTGGCGAATTATTTCTGTTATTTCTGTGTCGATTTTGCCACGTTTTAGATCATGATACAGCTAAAAAATAATAATAAAAAAAGATTTTATTTTTAAAAGTATTTCAAGTATTTCCAGTGTAACCTTTGCGCCACTGGAATGTTTATTGCTGAAAACCTCAACCTCAGTCTGATCTCACAAAAAGTCAGAATCCGTGTCAAATATCCAGAAGATTATTATTATTATTATTATTATTATTATTTTATTTATTTATTTATTTTTTTACAAAAGCCAAATATTCAGATTTGAGATGGATTGGGATATGATGGTATGACTAAAAAGGCGTTTTTGTCTTGCAAGCCCAGTCAAGCAGTCGGCATTGAGATGGCATCTAATGGTTGCTATGGAGACCTGATTACAGCAAGCATTTCTCACTTTGCTGCTGTTCTCTCACATTGAGCTTTTTTTGTTTTTTGTCAGTCTTATTCTTGACAGCTCAAGCTGACGCCGAGACTTTATGTACGGAAATGTTTAGGTGAGTAACTATTTCCTTCAAAAATATCCTGATTTTTTTTGAAGATCAACAGACAGCATGTCATATTTTAATGTCATATATTTTTGCTTTCCTATTTTAAAATGTGACTGAAAGGAACTGAGCTACAAAGCTGTGCGCCAGGAAAAACTGAAAAGGTTACTGGAAGATATGATCAACTTTAAGAAGAAAGTTACATTAATTTGCCAAAGAATGACACTGGATTTTATTAAAATCTAATATTTCTTGAAGGTTTTTTTTTCCCCTCTTCAATTGTTTTAATTGTTTTTGTGTGAGATTATGCTTCTAAAATAAATGTACATTTTATTTTTACAACATTTCTTGTTTCAAGATGGAACTTTATGTAAAAATCTCAACAACAGAAACAATGTGCGATGTTGTTCCTTCTTTACTTTACCCCACTTTCCATTTCCAATCTGCAGAAAATCTTTATTTTTTTTTTTTTTTTCTTTGACTCACCACAACATGGACATGAACACATTTGGGAACAGAAGCCACCAGTACCAGTTCCCCTTGGAGGAGAATGCAGCCATCAGCATACCAACCAAAGTCCCGTTGTATCCATGAAGCCCAGCAAAAATCGCCTCCCTGAGGTGAGGTGTAAAGACATGAAGCTGACATGAGTACAAAGCAGTTACATGAGAAATAAAATCTCACTGAGTCTGAAGCTAATTAGGGGAGAAACACAATCTTTCTGCAGAATGTCATAAATCTTTATTTTTTTTAATTTCTTGTTGTTGTTGAATAGGACAAAATGACGACGTCTGACCTGTTTAGTCTGAGGAGGAGAGCCGACACAGTGGAGACAAAAGCTCCCAGCAGAGAGTTTAGAGCCCACCAGGGGTTCTGCAGGAACAGGCCAGTCGAAATGAGAAGTCCACTGACAGGGTTACTGACAAACATGACCTGAGCCGTGCCTCGTAAGACACCGTCCAGCAGCTGGATGATCAGAACCTGCCCTGTCAGACAAGAAAGTCAAAACTTCGTTTGATTCAAATATTAAGCAGAGATAAAAAAAAACAATAAAAAAAAAATAAATAAAAATCAGACTGAATACCACCTACTTTTCACCCACTGTCCACACCGTCGCATGTCTCCTGTGAAAAACCTGACAGCTCTGAGGCAGCGACCCGAAGGCTCTGCTGAAAGTTGGTTGCTGGGTCCCATGCTGGCCAGCAGTTAAAGTGACAAATAATACAAACACAGAGCTACAGTAAGTTCCAGTCCATACTTTGCACAATCCCCTTCGAGGCTTTTAATCATAACACTTTCATCTATGCTTAGACTTCCAGAATCTCTGCTTCGGTATCAAGTCTCTAACAGCTTTACTTCCATCTGACCGGCAGCTTTCCTGTCCCTGCTGGTCGAGAAATTGGTCAAAAAAGTTCAGCACAGTATTCCACGTGTTTACTGTGTCTCCTTGTGGCAAACTGTGAATAGGACTCATATGTTTTTCTATTGTCAAAAGTTTTCTTCCCACCATTTTTACCATTATGACCTTATAACTTATTGCTTTTCCCATCAACATATTCTAGTGTCCCTTAAGCTGTGGACCTCTGCTGCTTCTCCAGTTACCATGGGGCTCAAGTCTCCTATAAACATCCAAATAAAATTAGTAATTGGGCTAGCAAAAGTTAAAATGGTTAAAGAAAGGAAGGAATAAGGCATGAGGATAGACAGGCAGATAGATATTCAGCCTTTCTTCAAACTCTCTAATCTGCTCCATGCATCCCACAAATTGCTGACAAATCAACACCTCGGCACACACAAACTAAAGTTGATTCCCCTTTTTGCTCCCTGAGGTAGAAATGACTCCAACAGAGAAGAGAGAGCTGGGATCTGAACCTGTGCCCCCCCCCCCTTCCCACCCCCGTCTGCTGCATTGATTTCCTTCAGTCCCTTCTGTCCTATTTTTGGTTTTTAATTTATCTTTTGATTTATTTTGAAGGAACGATCAAAGCAGTTTTGCGAGGAAGCTTCCCACTGCTACATCCTCAGCCACGGATCTCTGCACAAAAACTTTTCTTTTCTTTTTTTTTTATCATTGTTGCTGTTCGGGGAGCAGTGAACCTCTTGATGTGCAACTCTTTTGTTCTGTGACAAAAAAACATCCAGAGTCAACAAATATAGCAGCTTTTCAACAGAACTCTCTGAACAACAAAACTGAAATATGATAAAACTGCTCTGATCATAAGTCGCTCTGACGGACGCTTATCTAGCAAACAACGTATCAGATAGTTTTACTATTAAATTGAGACTGTAAAGTTATTAGTGTTTGTATATATATGTGTTCAGGTATGTTAAGGAGGATTTCTAGTTATCAGTTTATCGACAGCCACTTGTAAATGACTAAAATAATTACAGAAAGCAGCATTTTTGAGTCAAAATCAGCTCTTATATCCTAACTGAGATGTAGTTTGTGCTCAAAAAGCCTCCAAAATGGGGTTGAAATAAAACATTTCTACAAATGTGTTATTGCAAAGTGTTCAGTTACTTTTTCACACAGATCTTACTGTTTTTAAAGGCTTTTTGTCCCCCTCTCAATAAATGAAATCCTAATGACAATATTTTCATAATGATCTGAAATTTGTTCAAGTTGAACAACTTTTTTAAAAAAATGACTAAATTTGTTCCTACTTCGGAGGGGAAATATTTTTCACAGCACTATAAGCAGTTTGTTATTTGCAACTAAAACTTTGTATCAGGAAAAAGAACATGCGTCTGAGATCTGTGAGTGTCGCGTCATAAACCAGATTCTTACCTTTTCTGTGTTAACGATGCAGATCTTTCACCCGGCAGCTAAATTTGAGATGCTGTGTTGTTGCTTGTTTTCTGTGAGATTCCTGAGAACAAAGCTGGCCCATACTGCAGATGATCAGCTATTAAAAGGATTTCCTGACTAAGCAGTGCAGTGGTTATTGTTTCCACAGTCCTACTGGGAATAAAGATCTGCTCTATGAAGTAAAGTTTTTTTAATTTTTTTTATTAACTGGTCAGTAACCAAGTTTCATGGTAAAGAAGTATAAAAAAGTTTCTAGAAAATGCTGAAAATATTAGAGGGGAAAAAAAATTACTCTTTGGTTTGAGTAAATTTATTCTTTGGAGGAAGAAAGATCCAAACAAGTTGTTTGTTTTACTAGCTCTAAAATTGTTAACACATACATTATGGAGTTAATATTTAGAGTAGCTGCAGGTCAAAGCTTGTTATAATGTGCATGCAATGTGACTTGATTGTTGGTTTGTTTGACTGATGGCGGTGTCAGGCGTACAATTTTAGCATTTTCCCTTTAAATGTTCCACTGATCATTAAGGCATAACTGCAAATTAATAGAACTAACTTGGTTACAAATTATTTTGTTAATCCTAACAACCTAATCACAAAAACTTTAATGGCATTAATTGAGAAAAATGTTATATGTTGTTTTACAGCCTTTGCTTATTTCAGGTTCCCGCTGAATTCAGGTAACATTTTCTTGTGCATTGTTGATTTGGATGTGTGAATGTCTTAGTAAAGGACAAAGAAGACAGCAGACATTTCAGTATGAACAAAGTGGATTGGATAATCATGGGAACAACAAAAGCACACAAGAT